TCCATCATCTTATTTCTCAAATTCATTTTATAATCTGCCTACTTAAAAATCTATTTAAGTTTTAGTTTATTTGTTTTACTTTCAACTTCACCAAACCCAAATCCCCCTTTTACTTTCTTGTTTTAAAAGTCTTTGGTTTACATTTTTAACTTTGTTTCTTTTTGTTTTTGAGTCAGTTTAGAGGTTTTAGCAAGCCCTCCTAATCCCCGGTTTAGAACGATACCCTACTTACATCTATACTACAATTGTTAAAAAGAGGGTTTAATTTGTGTGTCAAGTAATTCTCACATCACGCCACTCCGGCAAGCATCTTCACCAGCAACCACCATTTCTGACCCTTCGTAGAAAATGTGAGGTGTATGTAGAAAATGTGGATTGCATGTAGAAAATAAGGTGTATGTTGAAAGTATGGGGTGTGAGGGTATTATGAGGAAGTATGTGGGGTGCATTAAGATAATTTTTAATTGAAAAAGCAAGTGTTGAATGTATTAAGTATATTGAGTGTATTCAACAAGATGTGTGGTTTTAATATAACAAGCCATATAAAAGTTTACTTTCCTCATTCAACGTAATGGAGCATTGAATGTTGTGATTTGTTATCTTGGACGGGACGGAGCCCCGGAACATGTTGAACCCACCCAAATATCCTGTTAGTTTCCGTGCGCTTTTCATTCCTCTCGAGTCTTGAGACTTTACAGTTTACACTTATCAAAAGAGCATGGCAATTGGGTTGCGACTTGCGAGTCTACACTCCCAAAACGCAGCGTTCTGATCATCTCTCTCCTTAATCCTCACACTTATCATTCCACACTCGGGGTGCTTGTTAACCCATACAATGACTTTACTAATTTGCATACATGTGTAGAACATTTTGGGATCAATAAACATTGGAGGCTGCTTCATATAAACCTCCTCATGTAAATCTCCATGTAAAAAGACATTTTTCACATCATGTTGTCGAAATGACCACTTATGTGTAGTTACTAATGCTAGGATTAATCTAATGCCAATGTGTCGAACTACTAGACTAAAGGTTCTTGTATAGTCTAATCCCTTCTCTTGACTAAAACCTTGGGCAACAAATCTAGCTTTGTACCTGGAAATGGTGCCATCAAAATTTCTTTTAACTTGTACACCCATTTATGGCCAATGACATTTATATCTAGAGGAGAGGGAACAAGAACCCAAGTACCTTGATTTTGAAGAGCATCATATGTTGAAACAAATCCTATTCTAACATTAACCATAGACCACAATCAGAAATAAGGGTCGAAGACAAACCTGTCGAAGCAGCCATAGTAGTACCATATCAGTAGTTTCAGGAAAACACATTTGTGCAGCATAACTGTCGTGGAGGGTTGGTTATTCACCCATTGCACCCAATCCCAAACGTGTATGGAGTAGTTGTGATTAGTTCTTATTTTCAAACACACGTTGGAAGTGTATTCCTCAATTATAGGATGTAGCTTTACACGTATTCAAACTCTATTTGATTTGTATTACCAACCTATTACTTCTCCTTTATCCTAACTAGTTGAGTCCACATAGGATTCTTACATTCTCCCACATGGACGTTAACTAGTTATCGTTTGAAGCAACATGTCCATGACAAATCATTCCTTAGTGATCACCTTAAGTTTCTTACGCAACCAACATCTTATACACATCTACCAGTAATCGTTTAAGGCTTGAACTCTAAAAAACAATGCATGTAATGATACCGAATGCACCCTGGAATCACAATTCTCAAAATCATAACTTATGATGCAATTGATATACATTTCATACACATTCCAAGCAAGTAATTTACAACTTATATCACATTTATTTCCTCCCACACATTTACCCAGTGTACCTTCATAGATTGAACTTCCAAGTTCATCTTCAACCACTGGACACTAACCTTTCAAGCTCCTTGCATAACAGACTTAACCAATATGCTCTTTGGAACAATGATTTGTCATTTAATTGCACATCACAAATTCTGAATTAACATAAACATTGTCAAATATAAGCTTGAAAGAAAATAAACTAAAATCTTGTAGTGACACAAGACATAGTGAAAACTAGCATTGGTTTTCTCTACTCCCACATTTCAACAAACCAACAGGTTCCACTTTAGGAATAAATTTCTCTGAGACACAATGAAAACAAGCATTTGTTTGGCCAAGGAGTTTTTCTTCTACTGGTCAAGGCAGTGATGAAGCCAGGATTTGCCGAGGGAAGGGGCGAAATTCAAAAGAGTGCAACATTAAATCGAAGCGGTTGCTTTCACATTGGAGAGTGCAAAGTTTTAAGTCAATATTCATAGCGAAAAATAGTCTCTCCACCAAAGCGGTTGTAAGCAATAACATCAAAGCCAATGTAAAAAACTGAAATCGGCTAGGATTAGATCCTAAAAAATGTTAGGCTCTAGTCAAACAGCGGACTAGGACCTAGTAGTTAGGTGCCTAGGCGAGATCTAGGCAGGAGCCTAGATGGATTTAAATTATCATAAAATAAGCATTAAACAATAGTTACATTGTTTTAAAAAGTTAAACAATGTGAGAATTTAAGATAAATACAGTAAGAGTCTTAAAAGAGAAAATAAAAATATATACAAGAATAAATAAAAAAAAGAAAAACAAAAGAGAGAAATGGGTTAATAAACCTCAAAAAATAGGTAGGGACAGAAGAGAAAAAAATGGGGAAATGGATAAACAAACAAGTGGAGCAGAAAGATAAAGACCAGAAGAGAAGTGGTGGGTCAATCCTTGGGTAATACTTGGGTAAAGTGTCAGTACCTAATATTTACTGACTTATTAGGTGGCCCAATAATTGTCCAACACCTGTCTTTAAAACTCGCACCCAAATAGATAAGACTTGGGTACTCGCAAGGGAGTACCCAAATTTTACTCACTTCTTATGTGGTCCAATAATCTTGAAACACCTGTCATCTATACTTTCTCTCTACATTTGTAACCAAACACTAAGTTTCCCATTCAACCCGTGACCAAACATAACCTCTCATCTTCCTACCTTCTTGCCATCGCTGTAAATCTCACCCTCGAGTCCCTTTCTCCTCTGTCAAACACCCACCCACCCCTTCCTCCAACCTTTCCGTCGATTATAACCCGAATAGTTCTACAAACCTCTCTTCTCTGTCGAACCTTCCCCTTCGCTAAAACCTCCATCTTCCGTCAAACTGATCCCCAATTCTTCCCCAATACGCATTACTGTTGTGCCCTAAAACTTCCATTTGTGAACAAGTAAAAGACAAAAACAGCATCCAGCACCATGGATTCTATTTCTACATAATGGTTCACGGTCAAAACTTTACCACCTAAAAAGAAATATAACTAGCTCGCCCCAGTTGTAAACAAACAAAGCTTTGAAGAGGACCTTGACATAGGTATACTTTCCATAAAAGGTTCCCTCATCCCAAAATGGTTTGACAATTTATGATTCGCAAGAGCCTACTAGTAGAAGAACATGTTTGCGCGACGCAGCAAATTTCATCATGCAAAGTATGTTTGCGCGACCCTAAACACAAAACGTCACGCAAAGGACGTTTGCGCAATGGTACTTTGTGCCACGAAGGATGACAACACACAAAACAGCTTTGCGCGACGCAGAACTTTGTCCATCGCGCAAACGTCCTTTGCGCGACGTTTTGTGCGTCGTGCAAGATCTTGGAGCCAAATAAATAATGCTTTCTCGCTTTTTTGACAACTTTGCGCGATGCACGTAAACATGAGTCACGCAAAGTCAACTTTGCGCTACGACGACATGCGTCGCGCAAAGATGTTTTGCGCAACGCACGTGCACGTACATCGCCCAAAACAGCTTTGCGCAATGCACATACACGTACGTCGCGCAAAACATCTTTGGTTGATTTTGGTATCCACTTGTGTCAATGTTTTAAATTGACGATCGAATTGGTTGATTGTATTCATATAGGGTTAAAGAGTGTAGGGTAAAAAATCATCAAAATCGGACTTAAAATAACCATTAAATTGTGATTTTTCGTTTATAGCCGTCGAAAAGGTTTGTCCCGTTACTTGATCTATGAATGTTTGTTTTTTATGATTTTTGGCGTATGCGATCTTAAAGCATATACAAACAATTTGACAGTTGGATCGTTGAAACTAGTTTCGTAGAATGCGTATCCCATCAAAACATTAGATTCACAAAAAATTGGAGTTTATTTATACTTTCATTAAGTATAACATAATATTTTGTGGTATCCACTTGTGTGAATGTTTTAAATTGACGATCGGATTGGTTGATTGTATTCATATAGGGTTAAAGAGTGTAGCTGTAAAAAATCATCAAAATCGGACTTAAAATAACCGTTAAATTGTGATTTTTCGTTTATACCCATTGAAAAGTTTTGTCTTGTTACTTGATCTCTGAATATTTGTTTTTTGCGATTTTGGCATATGTGATCTCGAAGCATATACAAAACAAGTTTGACAGTTGGATCGTTGAAACTAGTTTCGTACAATGCGTATCCCATCAACTTCAATGGTATATATATTTACTACGTATATTTTAATTTATTTATTTTGTACTTATAACACTTAAGAAATTGAATGATATATATGTAGAAAAAATTATTGTGGGTTTTTGTTAGATAAATATATTATTGTGGGGTTCATGTAAAAAAAAATTGAATTTGAAAGGAGGAAGGTCACTTATTCAGTAATTTTTATAATAAATTTTTTTTTTGATAAAATAATTTGTGCGACCTATTAATTTGATCGTCGCGCAAAACCAATTTGCACGACGTCAAATTGTATATGTACCTCGCGCAAGTTGTGATAAATTTGGCAGTCCAATTGGAATAAATAGGCGCTTTTTTTTCAATTTTCCCAAACTTTGGACAAAAAATCGAACCCAAACTTGAACCCTCCCTCCCAAATCTCAGTTTCTCACATAAATCCCCAAATCTACCTCTTTCTTTCCCTGTAGACCCCAAATCTCCCTCTCTTTCTTTCCCTCTTTCTTTCCCCGTAGACCCCAAATCCTGTCTTTCCTCTTAGGTCGTTGAACCCAAAAGACCTGTGTTTCTTGTTGAAAAATCTTGAACCCAAACGACAGGCCGCCACGGGAATCTCGAAGCAGACGCGAATTAAGTCCCAAAATCAAGGTAAAGGTTTTTTATTTTCGATGGGTTTTTGTTATTTAGGGTTTTTGTCACAAATTTATCTGTTACCAAATTGCTCGGGGTTAAGTTTCCTTTTTCGAAGAAATGGATTTTTGTTATTTAGGGATTTTGTCACAAATTTATCTCTTGAAAAACCTATTTCCTTCTGTAAGAGCATAAAAGCAGTTTCTTTTTATGATGTTTGTTGCTTATACACACTCAGTTTCACACTTTGAATACTGCCTTGTTGGAACTGCAGCAACTTCTTATGGCCATGTTTTATGCTTTTAGTATTTGCATAATCTAGAAAGAGAGTTGTCGTTTTGAAATATAAAAACGAATTAAAAAAAAAGAGAAAGCTTTCTTCCCTGCAACTTTAGTGTTAGAGCTATTGATCCAATAAGTTGTCAGATGTTCCTAATTGTTGTGAACGTAAGGCTTCATTTAGAAACAGAAATGAATGATTTGTGTAATTTAACAAAATGGTGACTCAAAAGAATCATTATTGAAAACATGGTTGAGTTCTGTGCATAAGAGCAGTTTCTATTTGTATAATCTGAGACATTCTAATGCAAACCTTCCTAGTATTGGGCCGTGGAGATAGCTCTGTGCCTTGTTTGTTGCTTTTCCAAACCTCACTTGGTGTTTGAGGGAGGAAAGAGTGGATTAATAGCGCTGGATGCTTTCATAAGTTGTTAGATTCTTGTTTGTTTTATTTGTTTTCGTAGATTCGTGTTAGGTTTATTTGTTTTTGTAGATTCGTGTTAGTTCTATTTGTTAGATTCGTGGATTAATAGCGCTGGATGCTTTCATAGGTTGCAAGAGCTTCTTGCAGGTATATACCAACAGGAGTTCTGTTTGATAGAATTTGTGCGGAACCAGAAAGACCTTGGAATCTCACGGTAAGTATTTTTTCTTATCGGTTTATCTTTTATCATCGCTATGTTTAAAATTGATGAGCATGTCATTAGTTTCTCGGGAAATTTAGATAGAAACTTAGGAGGCAACTAGTCGCAAAACAAAAATAGAGAGTTATGAACAGAAATCCTAGCCATGTTTGGTTCTCATATATGGGTATGGTGCTATCAGAAATCACATTTGTGCACCAAGTTTATTTCAGAAATTATTCTTAAATGATTTTGGACATGATGGAGCCATTGGTACCGAAATAGAATATATTAAGGCCGAACATTTTGGAGTCATTTATGTATTCTTTTTTTTTTTAAACTCAATTAAAAATCGATAGATAAGAATTATCAAATATTCTCTTGTTTTGGTGGCTGTTGGGAAATTCTAAAAAATTGGCTAGGTGTGTTTTGCGGGACCAGTTTTAAAATTTCATAATGTAGTGGGAATGTGTTTATGTGCCACAACTCTCCTTCTTTGGTATCTAGTCGCTTATACATATCGTCATAAGCCGCTAACTTAGCTTCTCTCACAGCTTTCTTCGCCTCTTGCTTCGCTCTTCTATACCTTTCACCATTTTCATCAGTCCTATCCTTGTATAAGGCTTTACAACATTCCTTCTTAGCCTTCACCTTTGTTTGTACCTCCTCATTCCACCACCAAGATTCCTTTCGGTGTGGAGTAAAGCCCTTGGACTCTCCTAATACCTCTTTTGCTACTTTTCGGATACAGTTAGCCATGGAATCCCACATTTAGCTAGCTTCCCCCTCTCTATCCCACACACACTGGGTGATTACTTGCTCTTTGAAAATGACTTGTTTTTCTCCTTTTAGATTCCACCATCTAGTCTTTGGGCACTTCCAAGTCTTGTTCTTTTTTCTCACTCTTTTGATATGTACAGAATGTTGGGCGGTGAGAACATGGGGGAAATTCTAAAAAATTGGCTAGGTCTGTTATTTATGTGATATGTGTATGGCACAGAATGTTGGGCGGTGAAGCATCAACACGTACACAAAATGGGTGTAGCGGAGATGAGGATGCTTCGTTGGATGTGTGGGCACACGAGAAAGGATAAGATTAGGAATGAGGATATCCGAGGTAAAGTAGGAGTAGCCGAAATTGAAGGAAAACTTAGAGAAAATCGGTTACGGTGGTTTGGACATGTGCAAAGAAGGCCTACTGACACTCTGGTTAGAAGATGCGACTACGGGACAGAGGTTCAGGGCCGAAGGGGTAGAGGAAGACATAGGAAAACTTTGGAAGATACTCTAAGAAAAGACTTAGAGTACTTGGATCTAACGGAGGACATGACACAGGATCGAGCACAATGGCATTCTAAGATTCAGATAGCCGACCCGACTCAGTGACTTGGATTTTTCAAGTCTCCAATCGAGAAGTTTTCCCCACTCGGGAAATTAAGGGAACACTACCTCAACCTACATGCTCCACTCACAAAGCTTCAACATACAAGCTTCAACAAAAGAAAAATTCAAAGAACTTAGTGAAGAAGGCTTTGGTGTATTTAACACAATACATTGAAATGAAACAAAGCTTATTTATTGATATTTCTAAGAAGTTACAAATATGTACATATACACGAGTCAAAATAAACAAACAAGAGGGAGCCTTCACAAAGGTTGATTAGGAGAAGTCTCAGCAGTCGGCAGAGCCCCAGAAAGAGAAGGCACCGGAGGGGGATCATTCGAAGCCTCATCACTGAACAGCACCCTAGAAGGAGGAGGCATCGGAGGTTGATCATTTGGAGCTTCATTACGCGGTACAGCCTTAAAAGACGAAGGTAACAAATGCCTTTGGAACAAACCCACAAACCTCTGATGATCATGTAAAATTTGACCATCAGATTCCTTCATCTGGTCAAGCTTCCTCTTCATGTTTGTAGCATAGTCATGTGCGAGCCGGTGCAACTGTTTATTCTCATGCTTGAGCCCTCTAATCCCCTGTTTGAGACTCATCACTTCAGCCGCCAATGATTCAACTTGGCGGGTACGAGCAAATAGGCGTTGGGCCATATTAGACACAGAACCTGCACACTGAACACTGAGAGCCAGAGAATCCTTAACAGCCAACTCATCAGACTGTTTGGAAAGTAGTTTGTTATCTTTGGGAGTGAGAAGGTTCCTGGCCACCACCGCAGCGGTCATATCATTCTTCATCACGGAATCCCCAACGGTAAGAGGACCAGTAGGGGATAAGAAGGATGGGCGCCATATGTTGTCTGGAGATGGCGTGGCTGCCTCTTCAACAAGGTTCAAGTCAAAACGACGGTCGGAAGGGCCAGACATTTTCAAAGGTGTTGAAGAGAAAAGAGGTCGGACAAATCAAGATCTTAGAAATGCAAGAAGGGAGCTTCTACTGGTGGAGATTCAAGTGTGCTTTGGAACTTAATACCAGCCTCTATAAAAATCTGCACTCGATGGAGCTTCAGAAATCGAAGAGGCGCCTGCTCAGAAATCGAAAAGGCGTTTGCTTTCTCAAAAGCTGGGCTGTTCAGAGACCATGAGGGCTGATCTCAGGAATCGAAGAGGCGTTTGCTTTCTCAAAAGCTGGGCTGCTCAAAGGCCATGAAGGTCGATCGCAGAAATCGAAGAGGCGCTTGCTTTCTCAAAAGCTGGGCTGCTCAGAGACCACGAGGGCCGATCTCAGAAATCGAAGAGGCACCTGCTTTTTCAGCCTTGTCAGCACCTGTCACATGCACACTCAACTTTGCGGAAATTACGGGCATTCTGTCGAAGATTTCTAGTGAAGTAGAAAGCACGTGAATGTTACTGTTCAATCATTCACTTTCCACACGCAACATCAGCTCACGGGTACCACAGATAACTTTGCCAAAAATCTCTGACAAAGTTTAGACACGTGAAGCTTGCAGCTCCCATTACATCGCTATGACCAAGAAGGGTAAAAGAATAGCAAAGAAACAGCACTAACAAAGTTTAGACATATAAATTTTGAAGGTCTAGCTACCATATTATTACCCACAAGGATAAAGGAACAGGACCACTGCTGGATAATTGGGAAGTCCCTGTGGGTCAACCTTCGTGCTCCGTGGCAAGGTAAACTAGCAAACAGGCCTAACCTTTACTCACATTTGAGAAAACACTCCCAACAAGATTGCTTGCTTCAAGATCGAAGAGGCACCGTCCTCCGAATCTCGAGAGCCAGACTCCCAACATGATTACTTTCTCAAAAAGCGATGAGACACCGCTCTCCGAATCTCGAGAGCCAGACTCCTAGCAGGATTGCTTTCTCAAAAATCGAAGAGGCACCGTTCTCCGAATCTCGAGAGACAGATCCCCGACAGGATTGCTTGTTCGAAAACCGAAGAGGCACCGCTTTCTCAACTTCGAGAGCCCCTTAGATAAAGCTTGTCTGTAATCCTCACACCGCTTTCTCAACTTCGAGAGACATATCTCCTTGGATAAAGCTTGTCTGTAATCTTCACACGTAACATCAGCTTTCCAGATACCACAGACCAATTTTTCAAAGCGCTCTGACAGAGTTAAAACACGTGAAGCTGGCAGCTCCCACTACCGTGCTATGACCAAGCAGGGTAAAAGAATAGTATTACTCCTTCTTGTTAGGGAGACTCCTATATATGCCGACCTCCATCCTCAACGGACAGGCAGACCTGCAAAAATGCTCAACCCTTCCTCATATCTGAGAGGGCACTCCCAACGAAGCTTCTCGAAATACTCAGCTTTCTTTCCCCCCAAGAATACCTCTGCAAACAAGCTACACCAGAACAAGAATATCTCATATCATCAGGGTTAAAAGCAAGAGTATCCTGATGAGTAGATTTTATATTATATATTTTACCCTAATCTTAGTATATTTTGGTTAATATATTGGAAGAATTTTGATACTTTGAATTGTATTTTCAATATAGGACTTTCGACTTCCTCTGGAGCAAAACAAGACCAAATGGACGAATTTTGGAGTAATTCCAGTTGGAGGACGTTCGTGAGTCACTTAGCTTGATTGTATCAAAATTTGGGATTTTTCCGCCAAGCGGTTATTTTCTGGGGATGAAATAAAGAAGCAGTGCGCAGTGTTGGAAAATGACATTTTTGGGCTTAAATGACGTTTTTGGAGCCCAAGATGACCTCGGATGGGTTCGTGGCCTTCTGGAAAAGTGTTCAGAATATTCCAAACATTAAATCTAGCTGTATTGGGCCAGTTTTGGAGCAGCTTATAGGCCAAAACGTGGCTGCTCAGATTTTAGACGAATTTTACTATTTTTATTTAAGGTTTTTATTAATTTTAGTTGGCTAGGGTTTGTGTGGTGGCTTAGCAAATATATTGCTTGGCCGTCTACAGTTTTAGAGTACGCTTTATTTTATGCAATATTGGAGACAGAGAGAAGTGCTAGGGTTTTGAAGATTTTCTACTTGAAGGTGTTTTCAATCCTTTTCTTAATTTGATTTTCTCAAAACTGTTTTCTTCTCTCTAGCTCTAATATTGCAGATTGTTTATTTTAATTCATTAATTTCGTTTTTATTTTAATTAGGTTATAAAATCAATCACTTCAATTTCTACTTTACAATAATTAAATGGAATCTGATTAGTTCGAATTATTTAATAATCCCTGTGGAGATGACCTTGCGAAATCCGTTTATACTACAATAACCTTGTGATTCTTGTAAGTAAAATAGGAGATTTAAGCCCGTTCACATGAGTAGTAAAAATCCCTATCAAGAAAATGGCGCCGTTGCCGGGGATTATTTAAAATAATTCCTACTAATCAGATTTTCAATTCGTTACTTTTCTCATATTACAACTCTTGGTTAATTATTTTTGTATATATCTTTTTATTTAATTGCTAATTTTGTTTGGTTGGTAAGTTACAATTTGTTTTTTTTTAGCAATGCAACAATGGAATTTGCAGTGCCCCCTGAATTCAATCTAACACCCGGTGGACCACCTCTTTGGGTGTCATTAGCAGAAAATGGTTATTATGGATTTAAGCCTACAGTTTGTGCTCTTTGCAACTCAAGGACCCATGATATTTTACAATGTCCTGAGAGGAAATATTTTCCAGATTATGTCCAAGAGTATATATATATGAGAATCGATTCAAAATGGAACTGGAATAATCCCCATTCAGAGTTCTACACTAAAAGTTTGAAAGAGCATCTTGGGCAATATTTCGAGCAGCTTAATGTGCCACAAGAGCTTTCGGTGGAGGACAAGCTCGCTAAATTGTTGGAATTAACTGACTTATACATTGAAATAACAAATGAAGGATTTCAAATTCAAGCAGTAAACCGTGGGAAAAGCTATGATGATCAAGAGGTTGGTGCAGGAATTGAGGAGCCATCTGTCTGTTATTCACGTCCAAAGGAGGAAACAGCGCATGATGACCTTGAAAATTCCATAGAATCTACTCCTACAAAAGTCTGTGTGCCACTCATGCACTATCCCGAGACTCCAAGGCGACCCGCTAAGCAGCAAGAATGCATGAATACTCTGACAAATCTAAATATAGGACAGCTGCTTACTGATCAGAAAATTTTAGAGGCGGTAACGGACAGTGCACCTACACAACCCATCAAATTCAAAGAAATGCCAGATGAGTCCTGCAAACAGGCAAAGATCCACAAGGAAACAAAGAAAAAGCTTAATGGCAACCTAATTCTTCGTCAAGAAATTCGGCCAATGCAGAAATTGTGGGTGTCAAATACAAGGTTTAAGTCAGTTCGACGAAGACGTAAACATTGCTGGAAGGGATTCTATTTTATTACAACATTTCATTCACATAGAAGGGCTAATATGAAGGATTCAACCACTTCCCTGAAACACATAATTGACAAACATCATCTCATTCCGTACCTACTGTTGTTGTATGATGCTATCAAGGAGTGGTTGATTATAAGAGAACAAGTGACGTGATTATCAATTCATTCCTCTACGTCTAGCTATAGACATTAACTACAGCGCTTATTGGGAGGCAACCCAATTTTTCTAAACTCTTTTCTTTTTATTTTCGTTCATTTTATTTTCTTCCTTCTAGTCTTTATCACAAAAAAAAAAAACAAAAACAAAACAAAAAAATCAGAAAATTGAAAAACACAAAAACAACAATTGTTTTTCGTTAATCAGTATTTTATTTTGGGATTTACTCGAATTAGATTTTTAATCTGCGTTTTTTTTTTTTTTTTTTTTTTTTTTTTTGCAGGTTGCATTTGGACTCGAAGGGCCCTAAATATCCATTAAGCGCGCAAAATTCAATTGAATCATGCTTTTAGCAGCATTTGGGGTCATCACTGGTGGCAAATAAAATTTTTACCTCTGCATGACTCGGGTCCGCGATGTCTTCAATGTTTGTTTTGTCCTTGCTATTGTTCAGCTCCAGTTCGAGAACCTTTGCACCCTAACGAGATGTACAGATTTTACACATGCGGTGAAGTTATATGAGACATGCAGTAAGAGATCAGTTATGGAGGGTTGTGAGTTTACCTTTTTGTGTTTCGGATCTGAGCTAATTGAGTGCTGTTTTTCCTTTTGCCCATTATGACTTCTGCGGATCCGACATCCCTTACACAAATCAGCCAAGCCTCTGTTAGTTTGTTTCTTTTCTGTATAAAAAAAAAAAATCAAAATCATCAGATGGATTACACCAGGTTAGGGGTGATGTTTACCTCTGTGGGACGAGTGGAGCTGAAATGTGTCTACATTCCCATGACCGCAATTGTTTTGGGTTGTTGCAGAAAAGAGTGTGGTTGCATGGCTAAGGCTACGGGTTTGCGTCGAGGTACATGGGAAGAGTTCCGAGAGAAATGAAAAAAAAAATGGGAGGAAGAAGGATCTTGTGTTTTTTAGAGCAATGAAGAGGAGATGCAGAGATGAATTGGGGAAAGGAGAGAAAAATGAGAGAGATGAAGGAATATTTTGTGAAAACATGTTCATTTAAGCAACATCAATAAGCATGCAATTAACAATTAAAGGCGGAATCATGCTTGCATGCACTTAAAAACAAAACATTAACCATGAAATTCAAAGCCTAGTAGATTGGTGAACCATGAATCAACTCAAAACAAAGTGAGTTGAAATTTATACCTTTGTAGATTCCTCTTTGCATAAGCAAAGGCTAATCACCCAAAGAGAGGGCCTTCATTCCTTGCATCTTAAATCTATGGATTTGGATGGAAGAATAGGTTTCTCCAAGTTCCCAAAATTGAGAACCTCTAAGTCTCTTCACCAAGGAGAGATTGGAGAAGAAATGAGTGACCTTGGAGTAGTGGGATTGCAAGATGCACCCTCCAAGGGGCCGGCCTCTTTAGAGAGAAAGGGAGAGACATGTTCTCTCCAATTTTCTCTAAAACAAACCCTAATGAATTTTAGGCTATAAAGTCATATTTATACCTTTATTCATTTGAGTGGCAAACTTGTAAATAAGTCCAAGTTCACTACCCTTAGCATCATGGCCGGCCCTAGGGTATTTTTGGGCTAATTAGGCCTTTGTGAATTATTATTCATTAAGTTGTCATACAACTTAAGTCAATGGGCTTGACGTTCGAAGCCCATTGGGCCTTAATGTCCAAAACTATCCCGAGGTCTTTAACGAACTTATTCGTTTGATTAATTAACATATTAATTAATCCTTGCCATAAATAAATGATTAAACCATTTAATCATTCTTACTCATCTCCATTGTTTCTTCAATCTCCACCTTACACGGTGTGCGATCCATTAGGTTCCTTTTAGCGAGGCAGTGGGCGATTAAAACCATTTTATATCGATTGTGAATTGAAACTTACTTTCAATTATCCCTTTAGTGATTACACACGTTTAGGGCTTCCACAAACCATGAGTGACACCTTGCAGCATATCATGGTTACCCAAGCTAATCAGAAGAGGTAGAGAAAACCTATTCAGTTTGGGATTACAAATGCAATACGGTCTTTCTCTAATACAATACTCTTGACCACATTGTTTGGTTTGATAGTTTATTTATTCATGTCTACTATCCAATGTGATTCGTGTGCTTATATGATTACCTTGAATGTGATTTAGAACGACTTTTCTAAATCTCATTCATACTCTGGCCAGAGATTCTAAATCATATCATAGAGTATTCTCCCTCAAACAGTTTGAAGGTTAGAGATCCCTTGTTGCGCATTCACTTGCCTCCATGGCTAAGTGGCTTAACTCCAACGATGCCATGGACACCCCGATGGGGTGACTTTGACATAATCAAAGATCAAGGACTTAACCACAAGACAACTGTGATGCCTCAGGTCAAATGACTACTTTGCATTATCCCAACCATGAGTTCTCATGTGACATGAGTATGAGAACTCTTCGTTGATCGCGTTCAGTGAACTCATTCTCTACTGAGCACCTACGTACTTGTCTTGATGTCACACACACCAATGACTCGAGACTAGTCACTCTCCCTGAGAGAAGACATAGCACGTACCGATCTTGACGGACTGTCAATGCCCAATTGGCAATCCTATGATCAGGAACATTTAGGATGTGTCTACGAAAGAATGGTCTCATGAATCTAACTTCATTAGATTACATTCTCCCAATCACATATTCCTTGGACTTTATCGTTTAAGCATATACATTTATATGAGACGGCTCAAACAATAATCTTTGCCCTTTATATTAAACTAGATTAGTTTAACATGTGAAATGTCCGTAAAGCATCATCACATGATTGGTTTTAGGGCACATTTCCAACAAGAGACAGAGAGGTCCTTTCATTTTAGCAAAATGGGGTCTGCGAGCAAGAGAGAGATATGGGCAAATGGGTTGATCTAAACCTTTTATTTGGAATCCTAAGGCGTGGTGGAACGGATGCGCAACACGTGTGCCTATCTTCAGCTTCACGTACTACCCGAGACGGATGGTTTTGCATTGGTAGAGAGCCGTTGGCTCTGTGGTAATGACTGACAAAACAACTGAGGGCTGATAGGGACTTTTCTTCTTCTGACATGAGACATCGCACACCACTTTTCACACGACATGCCAGCTGCATGCCATTCAAATCTCTCATAGCATCCAATGCCATTCAAATATCTCATAGTTTCTTTTATATAATCCTATAGACGCCAGCTGCACGCCACTTTTCACATTTCCAAGAAGAGAATCCAATGCTTTTCACAAGTTGGTGCTAGGAGTTGGTGCACATGTGCCGTGCACATGGCCTTGGTTGTGGGCCGGTTCTCCATGCATGGGTTCATGGCGTTTTGTATTGCCATTCATTTATCAACCAGCCACTTCATTGTCAAGCCCAGGTACTATCTTTCTTTGTTTTAGTTTTGTTAATCATTTTCACTTTTATAATTATTATATTTTAGTTTAAGTTTATTTCATTTTTATCATATTTCTTTTATTTTCTACACCTTGAGGACAAAGTGTAAAATAAGTTTGGGGGTGGGAAAATAACATTTTTGGTTTTTAATTTTTGTGTCAGTTAAAAGTTTTCATTCTTTTTAAGTTAATATCCATAGATTATTTTAAACGTTAGAACAAATGGACATGGTGAAGATTAATCCCATAGTAGAGTCTTTTCTATTTATCGTTGCTTAGACACTAATTCATGAATTATACTTTAAACTTTGCACATCACACCAACATGGTTTGTGGGGAGTGAGATTGAAACACTTGTTTTTAGTCTAAGTTTATTTTTAATTTTTAATTTTTATTTTAAGTAAAGTCAGTTATTAGTGTGAAAAAAAAAAGTAATAATTGTCTCACCCGAGGTTTTGCCTAGTAACCGGGCCAGTCCTGCCTAATCAGCAGTGATTGTCGCGTCAAACGGTAGAGTTTTGGCATGGGGCAGGGTGGTTAGTTGGTTTCGTAGCCTTTTCAGCTCGGGTTAATAAGTCCTTAGGGGTGTTCTACACCTAGTGCCCTAAAGCCCTAGTGGTTTGGGAGTCATTGACCTAAAGCTCGCTACATGGGTTTGATCGAAAGCTTAAGTAAACCGACATTGCACGACCACTACTATTACTGAAAAAAAAAAAGTGAAAAAGAAAAAAAAAAGAAAAAGAAAGAGAGTTATATTTAAAGTTACTATGTGTGAAATAAATAAGGACGAGAGGTAAGGGTTTTAGTCGAGTCTCCTTAATTATGTTGGTTCACTTTACACCAAAGGAAGTTTGTGAATTCTTTTCTAATTGATTCTAAATGGCTTAGACTCTGTGGTGGGATTAGTTGGAACTTTTGAAAAAATGTTCTAGTTTTTAAAATTTACTATGGATTGCAACTTTGAAGGTGAAAATTTTTGTCAGTTAATTTTAGCTAGTTAGTTTGTTAAGTTTTTATTTTTGTTTGAGTCTTGTTTTGCTTGAGGACAAGCAAAAAGCTAAGTTTGGGGGTATTTGATGAGTAGATTTTATATTATATATTTTACCCTAATCTTAGTATATTTTGGTTAATATATTAGAAGAATTTTGATACTTTGAATTGTATTTTTAATATAGGACTTTCGACTTCCTCTGGAGCAAAACAAGACCAAATGGACGAATTTTAGAGTAATTCCAGTTGGAGGACGTTCATGAGTCACTTAGCTTGATCGTATCAAAATTTGGGATTTTTCCGCCAAACGGTTATTTTCTGGCGATGAAATAAAGAAGCAGTGCGCAGTGCTGGAAAATGACGTTTTTGGGCTTAAATGACGTTTTTGGAGCCCAAGATGACCTCGGATGGGTTCGTGGACTTCTGAAAAAGTGTTTAGAATATTCCAAACATTAAATCTAGCTGTATTGGGCCAGTTTTGGAGCAGCTTATGGGCCAAAACGTGGCTGTTCAGATTTTAGACGAATTTTACTATTTTTATTTAGGGTTTTTATTAATTTTAGTTGGCTAGGGTTTGTGTGGTGGCTTAGCAAATATATTGCTTGGCCGTCTACAGTTTTAGAGTACGCTTTATTTTATGCAATATTGGAGACAGAGAGAAGTGCTAGGGTTTTGAAGATTTTCTACTTGAAGGTGTTTTCAATCCTTTTCTTAATTTGATTTTCTCAAAACTGTTTTCTTCTCTCTAGCTCTAATATTGCAGATTGTTTATTTTAATTCATTAATTTCGTTTTTATTTTAATTAGGTTATAAAATCAATCACTTCAATTTCTACTTTACAATAATTAAATGGAATCTGATTAGTTCGAATTATTTAATAATCCCTGTGGAGATGACCTTGTGAAATCCGTTTATACTACAATAACCTTGTGATTCTTGCAAGTAAAATAGGAGATTTAAGCCCGTTCACATGAGTAGTAAAAATCCCTATCATATCCCATATCATGCTTTTTCCGTGTCTTTTCCTTTGGCCTTGTTCTTACCTGCAAGACAAGGAGAAAGAGAGCAATCAGTCGTCACTTGGAATCAAGCTTCCAGTTCGGAACTGACTGTCTGGAACCCCATTGTTCTCGAGTACTCATCTTCAACATCTTATACTTCCCGAGAAGATACCACATCTGCCTGAGGAACAAATGGGGCAAGTGAGAAGGATACAAGGAAGCATGAGGAGACAAGCGCAACAGAACACGTGCCGATACATCCACTATTTTGTCAACAGCAAAAGTATCCCATATCAGCAGGGTCGAACGTACTCTAGATTTGATGGACTTGTTTTGACCCTCAAATTCTTCAGTCGGCCTTATACTCTGGCGGAAACAAGAAAACCCACCAGCCCAGTTCAAGAATAAGCCTGTGGAAAGTTACTTCTTCAAAAGCAAAAGTATCTCATATCACCTTTTCTCCTTTTCTTCTCTTTATCCTTCATGCTACCTGCAAGATAAGGAGAAGGATAACAATCAGCCGGAACTCGAAATTAAACTTCTGATCTGGGACTGATTGCTTGGAGCTCTGATTGCTTACCTTGTCTGTCACCTCTTTCAGCAGATCCCCTAGCTCGGCGACTTG